CACGGGGCCGCCGCCGGCGGAGCCGTCCGAGATGGCCTGGACGTGCGGGGTTCGATTGTTGTTGTCTCCCACTCCCCCTGCTCGAGGCCCCGGAGGTCATTCCGTTTGCACGGTGAGGGCCCCCAGAGGCCTGGATCCGCTCTCGGGGGCCAGCTCTTCATCCCGCGCTGCTTCGGGGCGGCCAGGGGGCCCGCCAGGGGTCGAGAACCTGCGGAAACCTCTGGTTCGTTTTGTTTTGAGCATCCTTGGGGCCGGCGAGGGCCCATCCCCCCAGAAGCCAAGCACTGTGCCAAAAACCTGGGGGCCCACGCCACCGAACATTTCTCCTTAGGCAGTTTTCGGTGCTCCTCGAGCCCGTGGCAGCCCGACGCGGACAGCGCGAAGGGCAGTGACCCGGGACGCGGCGAGGCGCAGCGGATCCAGAGCTATGCCCTGGCGGCGCGCGGGGCTTCCAAGGATGGCCCCGACCCGCCCTGCTCTGGAGGCCAGGGGTGTCTTCGTGGGACGTTTGGAGCTCCGCACGGATTTCTTGAATCTGCGCTGGACCCCCCCCCCCTTCCTGGCGCGCGGAGCGCGCCAGGGGCGGCGCCAGGGGCGCCACCAAGATCCAAGAAATCCGCGCGGAGCTCCGAAACTCTATGTTCGGGCGTCGCTGAATGGGGGGGCGATATGATGAGGGGAAGAAGACAGGTACACTTCTCCGGCCCTGAAGGCCCCCTTCAGGGGCCCTGAAGGGCTCTTTGAGAAGCCCAACAGGGCCCCTTATCTGCAGCTCTCGCTGCCACCCCATTTATCGTCCTCCTCATTATGGAACGCCCAAGCTCCGAAAATCTATGTCTGTGCCGTCCTTCTTCTGCGCGGAGCCCCTCCCCTCACTCTCGGTCGCTCGTCTGCGACTCTCTCGGGCGCTGTGCTACAGCCATCGTGCTACTAGAAGGAACGCATGCTAAGGAACGACGGGGCTCGTCTGGCCACGGCGGGCCTTGGCCACACACAGGTGTCACGACACAAATCTAAAGAACGGCCCGAAAACCCGAGACAGTCCTGAGCACAAAGCGGTCCTTACTTCAGCGTCTTTTCTGTACGGTCAAGAACTTCTGCTTAGCGTGTCGCGGCGGCGGCCCCGGCGACACGGTACACCCTGCGAGCGGATAGCGTGTCACTCCGCCTCGGAGCGGGGGGCTCGGGAAAGGCGCGGGGCGTGGACGCCTCGGGGCCGAGAAGCAGATGGCATGTCGCTGCGAGGCGTGATGGGCCGCAACCAGCGGAATGGCACGCTATCCAAAAGTTCCCGACAGCAGCATGGACTGCGCACGGCTCTGTGGGTCGGCCACGGGGGCGCCAAATCCACGATCGGAGGGAGCGTGCTGCCGGAGGCAAGTCGCGAGGGCCCGAATGCAACATTCCGTGTCCAAGCATAGATATAGTTCCATACCACATCATGTCGTATGACTTTGCGCTACCCTGCATCCGCCCCTAACCCCCACTGGAGACACGCCCCATCCAACGACCCAAAGATGGCGGACCCCCTCTGGGGTTCAAAAACGTACACGAACAGATTCAATGTTGGTTTCTCAGGCTTCTTGGGGGTTGAAGAGGGGTCGAGACGGCTCTGGAGGGACTCAACATTACCAAATCTTGCTCCAAGACGGCCCCGCAACGGCCTAAGAGGCCGCGAAGTCGGCCAAAGAGGCCTCAAGACGGCCCATGAGGCCTCCAAGAGGACTCCCAAAAAGGCCTCATACATATCTCTCTCTCTCTCTATATATATACACACACGCCTATGAGTGTGCGTGTGTGTGTATGTGTGTGTTTGTGTGTGTGTTAGCCCCCACTAAGATCAACCTATTCGCTTCGTACGTTGCAACCTCACCAATTGCAATCCAATGTATCTGTATATATCTATATATTCGACTGAAATGCAATCGGCTGCACACCAATAGATCGCCAACGTCCGGTTGCAACACCACTGGCTGCAATTCATTAGATTGCATGCCGAACGATTGCCATTCAATTGGCTGCTTTTGTTGCGATTCTGAGGCAAGTGCTCCAAGGATCTAACGCGCGGCGGTGGTCATGCTTGGAATTGCAGCGAGTCGTTTTCATGGGATGACGGAGTGTGCTGTTTATCATGTGTACGGTGTTGGCATGCTGATCAAGCTACTCCAGTTACTCCAGCTACTCAAGAAGTATCTGTGAATATATATATATATATATATATATATATATATACACACACACGCATATATATATATATATATATATATATATATATAATAGCGTTCTCGACTTCTCGGGCCTCTGACACTCCAAGACGGCCCCAGTCGCGATAGAGGGCCCCACAGACGGCCCAAGAGGCCCCCAAGACGGCACAAGTGAGCCCAGGACGGCCCAGAGATGCCCCCAAAGACGGCCTCCGAAGGCGCCTGGCGGCCCAGGGGCGCCCGGCGACTCGCCCCAAGAGGCCCCCGAGAAGCCCTGGAAGGCCTCCAGAAGCCCCCGAGCGCCCGCGGAAAGTACGCGACGGAGCGCGTCGCGTCGATGACGCATGACAACGGGACCCGTCGCGAATCCACGCGCCCTACTCCTTGTTTGCGCTTCCTCGACGTTCGGGGGGAGGCCGTGGAGCCCGATCTGAAGGAGCGCGGCGATTCGGGCGGCGCGGGGGCGGCGCCGGCTTTGCCGAAATCCCATAGGGGTCTTGTAGGAGTCCTACTCGGATCTTGGTGGGATCCCGCGCTGAGGGGCTCAGGGGCGGGATATCACTTCCAGGGGGCGAGAAGCGATACGGTCGGACCTAAGACATAATAACATCCTTCAAGTACACGAGACCCTCCGTTGGCCCAAACTGGAGAGCATTCGAGGGTACCCTCCCCCAGGATGCGCAAGAACATCTAACAAAGACGAAGAACACTAGGGCACCCTCCCCGAACCGATCTCGATCTTTTATCTTATGCCTCGATCCGACCGTATCCCGGTGAACGTTATCATCATCAAGCTCTTCGTCGCGGTGGGCGCGACTGCGAATATTGGGCCGCCTCCACGGAGGCCCACCGAAGAGGGAGGTCCAGAACTCGCTCAAGCGTCTTGTCGAGAGCAAGGAGAAGTCGCAGCCCGAAGTCCAATCCTGGTTCGCGATCGAGCTTTTGATCCTCATCATCGGGGCGGGGCCCACCATTGAGAAGTACAGCTTCCGTCTGTTCCTGTTCGGGTGAATGTTCAAGTGCCCGGGGAAGCCTCTGATCAGCCCTCGCCGGCACGGGACTCTGAGGCTGCTTCGCCACCTTAGTTATCCCCTCGCCCATGGGGAGCGTGTGCACGTCCAACTTCACGAGCAATGGCAGCCTGTGCCCTCGGCAGCTCGCGGCCGCGCACACCGCCAGTGGGGTCGGTGATAAACGCCAGGGGGCACCAACGGTTCTATGCCTGAGGCAATCCAGGCCACTTTGTTTATTTGTTTCTATCGTTTCTTCCTCCTCCTCCTCCTCCTCATCCTCCCATCCTCCTCCCGCGGAGGCGCCTTACGGGGCCTGGGCCCGAACCACGCTCGAACGGTCAAAGGAAATGTTGTTTGCTCTTCGAACGCGGTTCCGAATTGCGGCCCTGTTTGGCGCCCTGCGGTTTTTTGTTTGGAGGTTGCTTGTGAGGTGTGGAGTTTTTCATGTTGTTTTGAGGGGGATGTTCAAACCGAGATGTGCTAAGGGGGGTCTGCAACTTTGACCTACCCCGGGGGTGAACATCAATTCTGTTGACGAACGGAATTTGTGTCCTCATGCGCACCGCGACCAGCCCTACATCGACTTTCATTTCGACTTGGTCATTCCACTTTCGCGAACAGTGGTCCTGCAGAGGTGTTGGGCAAGCACGGCACGGCAAAATCATTCTCAATAAGGTTACCAGAGGGATTTGTTCGAAGCGGACCGAACTTCATGTGGATACCCCTGCTAATAATACTCTTGCTGTTCCTGGCATGTTTACTTCAGGACATCTCCATGTGAACTGCCTTTTCCGCCGCAGTTGAAGGACGTTTCCCTCCTGCGTGTATCGTTTTTTCCCCGCGGATGTTGAACAACTCCTCGCCCTTTCCCTTCCTCTTTCTCCTCCTCCCCCACCTCCCTCCTCTCTCCCTCATTCTCCTGCTCCTCCACCCCAGTAAGTGTATGTCCACCCGCCTCGAGAACAACTGGCCGCTGGGGCCAGGCGTGTGAGCACCCGTCGAGACACCCCCGCGCCGACGCCTGGAGCGCCCCTCTTCGAGGCCGAGCCTGGTGCCCTTGCACGGCAGGTGGGAGGCGTCGGTGTCGGCGTCGGCGTCGGTGTGGGCGTCGGCTTCGGCGTCGGCGTCGGCGTCGGCGTCGGCGTCGGCGTCGGCGTCGGCGTCGTCGTCGTCGTCGTCGTCGTCGTCGTCGTCGTCGTCGTCGTCGGCGTTGGCGTCGGCATCGGCGTCGGCGTCGGCGTCGGCGTCGGCGTCGGCGTCGGCGTCGGCGTCGGCGTCGGCGTCGTCGTCGTCGTCGTCGTCGTCGTCGTCGTCGTTGGAGTCGGCATCGGCGTCGGCGTCGGCGTCGGCGTCGGCGTCGGCGTCGGCGTCGGCGTCGGCGTCGGCGTCGTCGGCGTCGTCGTCGTCGTCGTCTTCGTCTTCGTCGTCGTCGTTGCTGCGGTGCTGCTGCTGCGTTGTCGCTGTGACTCGCGGCGGCGGGGCTGCTGCGAGTGGCGTCTCTGCTCGCTGTCGCGGTGCTCGCTGTGGTGCCGCTCTTGGTATCCGACGGCCTCCAGGGACCTCAGGAAAGGCTCCGCAGGGGCTGCGGGCATGGATGTTCCGCAGGGCCGTCGAGGTTTGGGGGGGCCTCGCTTGCTCGGGCGCCCGACGGCCAAGGGCGGTCCCAAAGGCCCCCGAGATCGTCCCCGCACAGCCCCTGCGAGGGCTCCCAGAGGCTTCGAGGGCCCCCGAGGGGCCCCCTCGGGGGGCCGCGGAGGGCTCCGACGCGCGCCGCCGGGCGGGCCTGGTAGGCCTGCTGCAGCCGCTGGAACGCCTGCTGCGCGTCCGGGGCGGTGCTCCTGTCCGGGTGCAGCCGCTTGGCCTCGCGGGCGCGGGCGCGGCGCGCCCCGCGGGGCGCCCCGCGTGCAGCAGGCCCCTGCTCTGCTCGGCCCCTTCGGGGGCCTCGCGATTGCAAGGAGGAAATCTCTGCGCAGTAGGCTGTGGGGCATGTTCGAAGAAGGTGCGTCGCGCCCCTACGCTGCGGCTGCAGAGCTCGAAGCCTGAAGTGATGCTTGGCGTGCCCATGAATGACAATGCGAGCGGGGACAGAAAGCGGACACATCGTGCACCCCCCGCCCCACCTCTCTCGCGGCCTGTGAGACGGATCGAAACACTCGGGGGCACCCCTCTGGGGGCCCACTGGAGGCCATCGGAGGCCCATCGGAGGCGCTCGATAGCCCGCGGGGGCCGCCCAGAGGGCCCTCCTTCCGCGGGAAGAGGTCGGGAGGTTTAGGGGCCACGCGAGGTGCACCCCAAACATCGGCTTCGAATGCTTGGGCCCTCGAAGGCCCTCGGATGCCCTCAGAGAGGCCCTCGGCCTCGTCGTCGTCGTCGTCGCAAGCCCTCAGACCTCGCGAAAGCATTGAGACGGCTAGTCTCTCCAATCTGTTGGCCTCCTGAAGCCTCTTCTGGGTAATCACCGCGGCCGTCAACGAGCAACCCGGGACGAGAACTCAGTCCTGGCGGAGGGGTCGAGCGCCCTGGGGTCGCGAAGACATCGTGACGTCGAAGGTCCGGACCCTTCCCCCCCCAATCCTTCATCCGCCACTCCACATCCTGCTCGCATTCTTCCTCGTCTTCGTCCTGGCCGTTCTCCTCATCCTCCTGCTACGGCCACGGTGAGGGCATTGGGTAAGGCACCATCGGATAAGGAATCCAAGTTCTGGAAGCCAGTGGAACTCCGCCGCCATGGATCTCGCCGCCGCTCTCATCAGAATAGGAACCCTCCAGGGTCTGAAGCCTCTTGCGTGCATTCCTTAACCAACGCCCCCACTGTTCTCTCCCCATCCCTTCCCCCTCCTGATAGGAAGAAGAGGAGGGGCAAAAGGACAAGCTAGGTGCGCTCGCGTCATATCTGACATCCTACCCCTCCCTCCCATCCCTTACCATGGCGCATATCCCCTCTCTGCTCGCACAGTCGGATGTCGAGCAGGGCAATGATCCCGAAAGGGTACGCGATGCATTGTAGAGCACGGCATGGCATGGCGTAGAAGAGCACCGCAAAGCGTAGTATCAACCTAGCATTGCATTGCACGCCGTGGCATGGCACGGGAAATGACGCCAGCGCTGCAGCGGGAGCACGAGTCGAAACAAGCGGAAGCGCGGAAATGAGGCCAGCGCTGCAGCGGGAGCACGATTCGGAACGAGCGGAAGCGCGGAAAGAAGGCCAGCGCTGCAGCGGGAGCACGATTCGGAACGAGTGGGGCCCGAAAATGAGGCCGGCGCCTCAGCGAGAGCAGCATTTTGAAAAAAAATGCAAGCGGAAGCCCAACTCCCGGGAGACCTGTGTGTAAAAAAACAGGACGCGGGGGGGGGGGGCGAACACTCCCAGCACGTCGTCAGCGGAAGAGGGAGAGTAGTATTCAGATTGAGCAATTGTGGAGGAGGACGAGGAGGAGGGCGCTAAGGAGGGAGGGGCTTGGGGAAGGGGAGAACGCGTTCGAGCAGCCTTCTCCAGGTAGGCGCGCCGCACCTCCTGGCGGAGGGCGCGGAGGGCGAGGGCCATGATGAATATGGTAATCGGGGCAGGAGGAGGAGCATGAGGAGAAGAGAGAGGACGATGGTAAGGATGAGTAGGAGACAGGATGACGGTGACGATGGTGATGATGACGACGATGACGATGATGATGAATATGACGACGATGACGATGGCGATGAGGATGACGACTATGATGATGATGATGATGATGATGATGATGATGATGATGATGATGATGATGATGATGATGATGATGATGATGATGATGATGATGCTCATGCTGATGCTGATGCTGATGCTCACGCTGATGATGATGCAGCTGACGACGATTATGAGATTAATGTTTGACGACGATTATGATACTAATGGTGAAGATGTTGGTGATGCTGATGCTGATGATGATAAGGCTGCTGCTGATGATACTGATGATGATGCTGTTGATGATGCTGATCATGATGTTGATGAGGCTTACGAGGATGCTGTTTTTGCTGCTGGTGATGATCATGCTGATGGTAACGGCGATGATGATGATGATGATGATGATGATGATGGTGCTGCTGCTGATGATGATATGGTGAGGATGAGGATGAAGATGTGAATGAGGCTGATGCTGCTGATGATGAGGAGGATGATTATGTTGATGCTGGTGATGCTGATGATGATGAGGAGGCGGAGGGGGAGGAGGAGGAATCTGAAGATGATGATGATGATGATGATGAGGAGGAGGAGGAGGAGGAGGAGGAGGAGGGGGATGATGATGATGATGATGATGATGATGATGATGATGATGATGATGATGATGATGATGATGATGATGATGATTATGATGATCAGGAGGAGAAGGAGGAGGAAGAGGAGGAGGAGGGCAGGAGGAGGGGGAGACCCTGTATGTATGTACGATGCAGCAGTTCACCCTGCCGCCCCAAATCCCCCCCTAATGAGTCCATACGAGTATCCCTTTCCACTGGGAAAAGCGCCCCCTTGAATGACGAAGGCCCAATGGCCATGTCACTCAGGCGGGACTCTTTTTTTGTAGATGATCCACCCATCCACCCTTCTGGCTAAGCTAAAGAAGAAACGGAACGAAAGATAATCGTGAAGACAAAGCAAGCGTGTAACGATAGCTCCGTCTCGAGCAAGATCTGCCCTCCATCCGCCTGAGTGTCGCGCAACCTCAAAACGAATGGCCCAGTCCAGCCTACGCACACGTACAGTGGCGCGACAGGGAGGGGGAGGGGGAGCTAGTTCTAGGGGCTGCAGGAGGGAGAAAAGGAAACACAGGAGAAGGGCCAGATAAACTGAGGATGCATCAGCGATGCTGCAGTACACCCTCCCGTCCCAGGTCCCTCCTGAGAAGTCCCTACAAGCCTCCACTTCAAGACACGCGCCCTTGAAAGACCAGCACCTGTGGTCCTGCCATCCAGGCGAGAGGCATCCCTCCAGCGAGTGATAGAGAATTCGACCTGGTATGATCATGCAGTCGAGCGATGTGCCCCCAGAGATCTCTTCTCGAACAAGGGGCCTGCCCTCACCCGTGCACCTGCCACGCAGATTTGCACCCCTGGCCGTGAGCGCCGAGGAAAGGTGCTGCCTCCAAAGGGGCGCCGATGGCCGTGCGGCCCCTTCGTCTCCCCTCTGCACGCGCCACCGAGGCTGCTGCTGCGGTGGCGGTGACGATGGCGACAGGACCCGCCCTCCGGCCGTGCAGCTGCACCACCGGCTCCGGCCCCTGTGGGAGTCCCAGGCCGACAAGCAGGAGCCGCGCTCCGCCAGCCTCGGCTGCTGCCCGCGGCCGCCGCTACTGCTGCCATCCTGCTCGAGCCCCCCACCCCGGGTAATGGCCGCTACCCAAGAAAAGAAAGAAGGGTCACCTGTACCTGCTGTTAGCTATTGATACGACTGTGCGCGGCGCTGCGCGGGAGCCCCATGTTGACAAGGCTCCGCCCTCCATCCTCTCAGCCGTTGCCAGACTTGCATAACGGATGTGCACGGCGCTGAAGCGAGAGCCACATTTTGAAAACGGCATGTGCTCCAGTCTTGAAGCTGCTTCAGAACTGTTAACTCGAATGCACAAGGCGCTAATCGAGCTCCATTTTGAAGACCGGCTCCCCTGCATCGCTGAAGGTGCTCCGAGCTCAAGAACTAATGATCATAGATGGTGAGGGGGGTCGGACCCCATCTGGGAGGCCTAGAGGGATGGAGGGGGAGGAGGAGGAGGAGGAGGAGGAGGAGGAGGAGGAGGAGGAGGAGGAGGAGGAGGAGGAGGAGAAGGAGGTGGACGTGGCCGCGACGAGGAGGCAGCGGCGGAGAGTTGGCTGTGGCCACTGAGGTGTCGGTTCGGGAGTGGAGAGAGCTCCCTTCAGCAAGACGCCCTTCAATGAAGGTTGTCGGGGGCACTCCACGTGCGCACGGCACCGCGTTCCGAATACACTCCAGCGGGGTAACCAATCGACGTCCAAAAACAACCGGATGTATCCGTTGAAACGCACGTGGATCAGCGAAACCGACCAGGGACTGCAGAGGTACACGGCAATGCCGATGTCGGGTGAACCCGTGCAGGCTTCCGCAGGCGACTTGCCTGGGTGGGCGTACTCTCAATGCCCGACGGATGTGTTCTAGAGTTTTTTATTGATCTCCACGATCTCACCTCAAATAATCGAACTCGCCATAGTCAGGGACCTGCAGGCGAGTTTACAGACACACCGCAAACTCAGAGCTGGCAGCACATGTGGGAAAAACTGAAAACTGTAACTAACATGCCGACTGAGGACACGGCGGTGGGTTCAGGGACTGCACAGATACGCTCCAATGCCGCTGTCGGGTGAACCCGTGCAGGCTCCCGCAGGCGACTTGCCTGGGTGGGCGTTCTCTCAATGCCCGAATGATAGGGATGGGAGGAGGGGGAGAAGGAGGAGGAGGATGAGGATGAGGAGGAGGAGGAGACGGAAAAGGAGGAGGAGGAGGAGGAGCAGGAGGAGGAGGAGGAGGAGGAGGAGGAGCAGGAGCAGAAGCAGAGGAGGAGGAGGAGAGGAGGAGGAGGAGGAGGAGGAGGTGGACGTTCACTCAATGCCCGATGGATGGGTTCTGGAGGACCTCCGGGGGCCTCTGGGGAACCACCGCGGAGGCCTTCGGCGAGGGCGCGGCCGCGGCGGCGCTGCATGGCGTCCTCGGCCGTGGCGCCACGCGGCACTCCGAGCACATCGTGCGGGTCCGGCTGCATGGGCGGGGCGGCACCCGGGCAGGGGCGCGCTCGAGCCCTGCCCTGCCCATGCAGGAGGGGGGTGGGAGGGAGGGGCGACCCAGACACGCAACGTCCTGACCCAAACCATAGTTGTTTTGTTTTCTCTAGATGGTCTACCTCTGGGGGGCCCTTACCCGACCCCGAGGCTGTCCAACTCAGGCTCTGGACGAACGGCTGGCCCTGCGGACCGCGTCGGGACTTCCGGGGACCGCGTATAGAACAAATTCGGGCATCGCATATTCAGGGAGGGAGAAAGAGGGAGGACGGAAGATTGGGAGGAGGGAGCGAGGAGCCGACACTCCTCCTCCTCTTCCTTCTCTTCCTCTTCCTCCTCCTCCTCATCTTCTTCTTCTTCTTCTTCGTATAACTCGTCTTCGCCTTCCTCCCCCTCCTCCTCCTCCTCCTCCTCCTCCTCCTCCTCAGGGCCATCAGGATAAATCGACTCTCCTCCTCCTCCTCCTCCTCCTCCTCCTCCTCAGGACCAAGCGGATGAGTATAATCAAGAAGAGTCAACGTCAGAGCATGCACAGCAGTGGGCAAAGAGAACGGACGGAATTGGGCGCCTGGCCACTCCGCACCCTGCACCCAGGCGCCCCTTTTCAGAGCGGGGCTGTAGCTGGGCACGTGCTCAAACTTGGGCCCCAAACCTTGTCGCATTCCTCAGACAGTCGACATCTATAGTAAGGACGGGCGGTAAGGACGCAAGGGCCTTGGGCGCCGAAGTTGGCATTTTTTGGGCGGCGGGCTGCCAACACCCTGAAGGGCTGGCCAGTGAAAACCTTGACAGACGGGCCGCAGAGGGAAGGACGCAAGGGTACCCTGAGGACTTCCGTGCGTCTTTCCGACTGTAGCTCGAAGGATGGACGGCAATTTCTGTCAGTGCGGAGCGCCCGTCACAATTGCGGGCCGACAGGGGAGTTGTGGAAGGGGGGGGTTATTGCAGTATCGTTGATGCATCTCTTCCTTTCTCCTCCCTCCTTCCTCCCCCACCCTCACTTTCCTCGCCCCCATCCCGCGCGTGCTCAGGGAGGAGGAGGAGGAGGAGGAGGAGGAGGAGGAGGAGGAGGAGGAGGAGGAGGAGGTGGAGGAGGAGGAGGAGGAGGAGGAGGAGGAGGAGGAGGGGGAGGGGGGAGGAGGAGGAGGAGGGGGGGAGGGAGGGAGAACGGGAGGAGGGAGGAGGGAAATGCTCCTCCCCCCCGCCCACCACCCCCTCCCCCCCAATGTACTTCAAAAAGCCCCAATAACACATCCGTCGCATCCTTGCCGCACTCTGCAGGAGGCACCGTCACGACACCTCAGCCGAGTCCGCCGAACGCTGGCGGCATCAGGCCGTCTGGGTCCGGAGCAGGCCTCCACTATTGCCAGGGGGCTCCAGCCGTAAGTCGGGCCTGTCCCTATACAGGAGAAATATCTTAGAATACTTGTTTCAAAGACATGGGGACGATTTTTAGGAGTATGTTTGAATATGTTTGGGGGTATGTTTTGACTATTTCAAAGTTTTCGCCCACGACCCCCCCTGTAGGGGGACAGACCCGACCGAACTCCAGCTGCAACGCCGGGATCTTTTCAAATCCGCGGGCGCCGGGTGGCCCAAGACAGTCTGCCGCCGGTCGTGGCAGGCGGTGGGGTGCCTCGGGGGCGACCTGAGGCTCGAAGAGGAGAGAGGGCAGAGCGAGAGGGGGGGAAGAGGTGGGAGCCCGCTCATGAAGGGGCCTCGGGACACACAGATAAATGCATACACACAGATCCCAGGATTCCCCAGATCTTTCCAGATTTGTTGGACTGTCATCTTCCTCCCCACTTCCCACATTTTCCAATATTTTCTAGGGCGGCGCGAAAGCTGGCGCGACGGCGACGGCGACGGCGACGGCGACGACGACGACGGCGACGGCGACGACGACGACGACGGCGACGGCGACGACGACGCCGGCGCCGACGGCGACGGCGACGGCGACGGCGACGGCGACGGCGACGGCGACGCCGATGCCGACGTCGACGCCGACGCCGACGCCGACCATGACGACCACGACGACGACGACGCCGACGACGCCGACGACGACGACGACGACGACGACCACGACGACGACGACCACGACGACGACGACGCCGACGACGACGACGCCGACGCCGACGCCGACGTCGACGCCGACGCCGCCGCCGCTGACGACGACGCCGACGACGACGACGACGACGACGACGACGACGACGACGACGACGACGACGAGCGGCGGCGCGGCAGCTGCGGCAGCGACGGCGACGTGCGGCAGCGACGGCACGCGGCGGCGGCGGCGACTGCGCGGCGGCGGCAGCGCCCGCCGCCGACGACTGCAGCCGCTTTCCTCGCCGGCTTACGTGGGCGCGGCGGGCGCGCCGGAGCTCTGTCCAGGCCAGGGCGCGGCCGGGCCGCAGAGCGCGGGCGCCGCCGAGCCGAGCGGAGGGCTGGGGGAGGTGCCCGGCCGAGGAGGCCACCCTCCACCTGCTCCGTCCTCCGTCTGCTTCTCTCTTTCCTGGTCGCGAGTTCACACGTAGGTGTTTGGAGGCCAAGCAACGCTCGGCGACGGCCAAAAAGAAAGAGAGGGATGGCTAAGGGAGCACCTGAGAGAAGAAGAAAGGCCGAGAGGATGGAGGAAAAAGGGGGAAAGGTGAAAAGGGAGATAGGTATATGATTGATTCACCTGCCCCCTCCAGGGCAACGTCTTCCTCCTCGTTTCTTCCTCCTTGACCTCCCTTCTCGTCCTCCTCTTGGGCATCCACCTTTTCGCTCCCTCTTCCACTTCCTTGCGCTCCTCCCTCCTCCTCCTCCTCCTCCTCCTCCTCCTCCTCCTCCTCCTGCTTCCCCCCTCCCCTGGTCCTCCTCCTCCTCCTCACCCACCTCCTCCTCCTTCTCTGCATTATTATTCTTCCTGTACTTCTTCTCCTCCTCCTCCTCCTCCTCCTCCTCCTCCTCCTCCTCCTCCCTCCTCCTCCTCCTCCCCTCCCTCTCCTCATTCTCATCCTCATCCTCATCCGCATCCTCATCCTCATCCTCCCCTCCGCCTCCGCCTCCGCTCCTCCTCCTCCTCCGCCTCCTCCTCCTCCTCCTCCTCCTCCTCCTCCTCCTCCTCCTCCTCCTCCTCCTCCTCCTCCCCCTCGTGTTCCCCCCCAACATTACGCACCGACCAATGAACTGGTCTTCTCTTTCCCCTCCTCGTCCTTGTCCTCCTCCTCCTCCTTCTCCTCCTTCTCCTCCCTCCTCAAGCCACTTGAGATCAAGTTGAGCAGCCTCCAGGTCTAATCGTTTAATGAGGGCCGCCGCCATGCCCCCTGCGTCTTGAGGACAAGTCCACGGGTGGCACGCCAGACATGGTAGAAAACATGGATGGCACGGAGGAGCGGATCAATGTGCGTGTGGCTTGTGCTGCTGTGACGGCGTTCTTCACCCGACGGCGGTCGATCAGCCGGTCGAGGGGGCTCCTCCAGATTGCGCGCTCCACGGGCGGGAGTACAGCGGCGCGAGGTGGAGCTGGGGATAGCGCAGTCCCAACTGGAGAGCCTCGTTGTCGGCGCGCTGAAGGTGGAGCAGCCGACGCAGGAGCCCGAGATGATGAGCGAGTAAGGCGCTGTCGACGAGCCCCAGCCCCAGCAGGTGACTGAATCTTCTACACCTCGGACGAGGAGACCGTCGCTGCAAAGGGCGGCCAGCACACAGAGCACAGCACCAGCGACTGCATGACCCTCGGCACGATCACCAACGAGAAGGGGTGGATGCCGCAGGCGGAGTCCGACTGTATGGAGCAGGAGGCGGTGCAGCGCCACGCCGAGGACGAGACCAACAAGGCTCACATCGAGAAGCCGCACGCCTCGCCACAAGACTCACGTTGGGACGTGCGCTGCACATGGCGCCTCCATAGTCAAATGCATCTAGTGATGTTTTTTTATGTCCGCTGTGGGGCATCCGTAATGGCCGTGTGTGATGTCTTGGAACATCATATGTGTTTTTCTGTGATCGGTTTTCGTGTTTTTCATGATGGATCAGTGCTTGGGCGATTTCTCTCCCTGGGGCAGTGTACAGACCCAAACGAAACACAACACAAGAGTCAGGGGGACGTAAGACCTGGGTACAAGGGACTCGGAAATCCCCGACGAGGTCGTCAAAAAAATGACGAGGCCGAGCCTGCATTTTGACGAGGCCTCCCGCTGCAGACATCCCACGAAACTCCTCCTCGTCAAAATCCGAGGCGCGGTCGTCAAAAAACGATGGCGAACCCGAGTCCTGGCAAACCCAGGTCTTACGCTCCCCCGAAAGAGGAGGGGGGAAGCTGAAAGGGCGGGGGAAAGGGAACACGCAGGGGTTGGCGGAGCACCCTGGCGGGGACGCGGAGCACGGCGCGGGAGGCCGGGGGAGCCCCGCTCCGCTCACCCCGATCCCGCGGCTCCCGCACCTTGCCGACGACTGCATGCTCGACGGCTCGCTCGCCAACGAGGAAGCTCGGGGGGTGGCGCGGAAGGACCCTCCTCCCCCTCCTCCTCCCCCTCCTCCTCCTCCCCCTCCTCCTCCTCCCCCTCCTCCTCCTCCTCCTCCTCCTCCTCCTCCTCCTCCTCCTCCTCCTCCTCCTCCTCCTCCTCCTCCTCCTCCTCCTCCTCCTCCTCCTCCTCCTCCTCCCCCTCTCCTCCTCCTTCCTCCTCCTCCTCCTCCCCTCCTCCTCCCTCCTCCTCCCCCCTCCTCCTCCTCCTCCTCCTCCTCCCTCCTCCTCCTCCTCCTCCTCCTCCTCCTCCTCCTCCTCCTCCTCCTCCTCCTCCTCCTCCTCCTCCTCCTCCTCCTGCGCTCCGTCCTGCTCGCCCCCGCCCCGCGCCTCGCACCCTCTGCCGGCGGCTCCAGGGTCGACGACGCGCTCACCCTCCGGGGAGGGGTGGACTGCGCGGGCGGAGCCCGGCGGCACGGAGCACGAGGAGGAGGAGGAGGAGGGGGAGGAGCACGAGGAGGAGGAGGAGGAGGAGGAGGAGGGGGAAGGGGAGGAGGGGGAGGAGAAGGAGGAGGGAGGAG